GTGATGTGCGGCCGCACTTCTGCCGGCACAGAGTATGCCAGGGCCCCGATGGCCCTTTGCTTGCCGTGTCGGAACAAGCCGTACGTGGTAGACAGGAGATTCTCAGCAGTGCCAATGGTCATGAAGGCGTCCACAAAGAGCCCGCGCTCCTGAACCTGACCTTGCGTGACGTTTTCCGACAACAGCCACTCGCGCACAGCGGCAACGGAGCGCGGCCGGGGCCGTACTAAAGCAACTGCTTCGTCACGAGACAGATACTGCCCATACCGTGGGTGCGTGGGATCTGAGACTTCTTGCAGCGTTCTCTCAAACACGTCGTGGCCCTGAGACTCTAACGCGATGGAGAGCCGGATGAGTTGACTGGCGTTGGCAGCTCCCAGCTTGGTCCATCCATCAGGCGGCTGGTCCAAGTGTTCCACGACGACCAAGTCTGCACTGACGACCAAGAAGATGCTACCCAGGACGCAAAGAAGGCCGAGAATAGACATTATGGCTTATATTGCCGTCCTTGTTAGTTAATTGCGTGGAGCAAGATGAAGACGGTGGTTTCAGTCGGGCCACAGGTCGCATCAACACTCGTGATACTCGATTCCCTTTCCCTGTTTGTGACCGTGGTGGCCGTGGTGGCCGTGGTGCAGATGGATGACTTCGAGATGCCCTATTCTCTTCTGCAGATCAATCCAAGCACTCGGCCAGGTTCTGCAAGATGAATGTCAGTTCTGACAACAATACTAAGCATGCCGCACAAGCTAATTCAGCCGAGAGGTTCCTCGCCAACAAAATGCCCCGATCTGATGCAGAACAATCGTCAACGGACAATTGGAAAAGGGGTTTGAAGATCGGGTAGGGGTGGGAGTGAATGGTAATTTCAACTAACGGGTTTGTCAGGCCAGGTTAGTAGTGAAGTGTGTGCAAAACGATGAAGCTGTGACTGGGAGTCGTCATACATACAATCTTAAACCTTCGCGATGCTATGAATCAGTGGCGGGTAAGAAACGACTCGGCTTCAGACTGGAGCAGCCCCGCCGCGACTGGAAACGAATTATCAAATGGTTCGACATGAGCGTCAAAGTTCATTAAATAAATATTCAACCTCTCCTTTTCCCACCTTGCCTCGTTCTTATCCCGAATCGTCGTTTTGCACTCTCCTGATGTTGCCTTGTCCAAGTGGCGTTGGAATTTATAATCCATACCATCAGAGATATCCAAGCGCAGCCGTGCACCTGTCACATTTGCGGAGATGCCGTTCGTCAATAAGATAATTGTTTTTCTGCCAGGCGGGGATGACGGCTTGGTTGTCGTTGGGTCAAGGCTTTCCCAGCCAAGCAGCCCAGTCGTGGAATTTGGTTGGCATATTTGTCAGCGAGAAAACTGCGTAGCCCCTCTGTCAAGCTTGTATGTATATCATTCGTTCAGGTACAGTGATTAACGAGTACTGAGGATGAAAGAAAGCCTCATGATTGTGTTGGAAAGGTGGAGGTGATGATTCCGTCGGTATAGCTGGCCCGTGAGCGGATTATCATCTAGCACGGCCCGAGACGCGGCCGGTGCGCTGCCGATCAATTCTCGACTTCAAGCACTAGTAGTGACAAGTTGACCAGATTCTTTCGATTTCTGGCACTAGCCTCTCTGCCTTGGCAGCGGCTGGTGGAGAGTTCTGCCAATAGTGTGCATACCCGAGTCCTGAAATGCAAGTATCAGCGCTCTAATCGATGAGGCTCACCCAAAGTTTGACGACACCAATTATGCCCGGAACACGTATTGGGACCAGCTTACAGACCAAAAGCTCATGTGTATCGTTGTTTCGTCCTCCGCATACGCCACATTCCCCTCACCGATCCCTCACCGACGGACACTCGGACTATTCCGTCCAACCACAGCTCGTAACCGTATGACCAGCCGAGAGCTTGGGCCAGCGTCATTCTTTTCATAGCCAGCCTCCCATTGACAGTTTTGTTACCCCGTCGTGGGTAACCGACGGATCCAGGCGACCAAGAGCTCTGCACAGAGCCACGGGTTGGCCCGGTCTCACCCCCCAAAGTCCTTCGGCAAGCCGTCTTGTGATTCGCCAAGTATACGACAAGCACGTGCTGACAGGTCTTTGCTGCCATGTTTTGCAAAGTGCCATCGTTTCGGCTTCTCAAAAGACAGGTGTTGTTGGGTGCTCTGATCATCGGCCAAACATATCATCCTTCCAAGTCGTGATTTGTGAACAAGCCTCATCTGACAACCGAATTCTGCCTTGATAATCCTGAACAGTGCTTCACGGTCCCTATCTAAACTACAAAATCGTGGCAAAGACAGGATAAACAAAGGATATTTTCACCTCATATCACGAAAGAACGTGGGTAATTTTGTTGAAGGAATGTATTCAAAACTGTAACCAAATGAATGTTAAAGGCAAAGAAAAAGCAAAACAAATGACACTCTAGCTAATAAAGCTCGGCATGTCGGTAATTCCAGCCCCAGGGGCATAGGAACGCACGCTCCCCTCTTCTCAAAGTCCATTGGCAAAAAATTCCTCCATTGCTTCAGGGGCAGAGCGCTCGTTCTTCTCATCCCAAGGCAAAGCATGGTGCTTGCCCGTTAAGTCCATGACCTTGGTCTTGATACCCTTCTCCTCCAGCTTGGCGGCCAAGCGCTCGGCCTCTCCGTCGGGGACCAGCTCATCGTCCGAGGCCTTCATCAAGAGCACCGATTTACCCTCCATGGGTCCAGCCAGAGCATCAATCGTTTCCACAAGCGAAAATCCTCGAGTCTGTACATCCGGCTGGCCGTCCACCCGGGCGCCGCTCGGGAAAACCGCTCCCAGAACGGCGCTTGCACCGTATTGCGCGAGCGACTGGAAAGGGAAGATGTGAGGCACCTTCGAGGATACGAAGCTCCCCGCGACAGCGGACAGGTCTGCAAAGGGCATCAACGCAACGACCTTGGTCACCTTGGGGAAATGAATGCAATGGGTCCACCCGATATTTCCCATCGATCTACCACAGTAGATGACTTCCTTTACGTTGGGGTATTCATCCGTAGCGTATTGGTAGGCCGCGGTGTCGTTGATGATGGAGGCTATTTCGAGGGCGCCGGCCTTGTTGGGAACTCGGGAGCTGCTATCATAGCCGACAAAGTCTACAGCGATGACGACGCGGGTCCGGTCGTGCGTCAGCTTCTCGAGTATCTCGTTCATGTAGCGAGATGGTCGTATGTTTCCATGATTGAAGATGACTAGCTGCGTCGCGGGCTTGTTGGCAGGGTAGACGTGGATGCCCACCGAGGTCTCTAACGTCGTGGTGAGGGTGTAGTGGCGGACATCTGAAGACATGGGCTCATAGCCGTCTTCGTGATTTGTGATTTTCTCGTTGAGTCTAGCGTAGTTGATTCCGCCTTTTGTGCCTGGAGCGTTGCCCGGGAAGATATAATTCTCAAGTCGATGAATGGGGAAATTAAGCAAGGGAGTGTGTCGGACAACATCGTCGAACACGGAGAAAGGACGCTGGACAGGAATGCTGGTTTCTTTGCGATCGGGGATCTCCTGAAGTGCCGACACGTCTGTGACGGTGTATGTCGTCGGGGTGAAGGTAGACATTTTCTCGATGGACACGATGCCTAGTGTTGCAAGTGTAACTTGTACGCGGTTGACGATGTTGCAGCTGCAGGAGTGACTACGACATGACTGAGAACCGAGGGAGAATGTCGAGCTTATATACCTGGGAAGCTATGTAATGGACAGTATTTGAACATGTGGCGAGGTGGTAGGCATTTCGGGGCTCAAAGTTGAACAAAAGATACCGAATGTTGGGTTGACGTTGCGGCGGCATGTGGCCGTGCTATCCAAGGCCAGGCCCGTGGATGCTTCATGGCAGTTTCAAGATTACCAGTTGACGTGATACACACAAAGATGCACTGGAAGCAGGCTGCCACACTGCTCCTCGGCGCAATTCCTTTGTGTATGTCTGAACACGGCATGTTCAATCCCTTCTCCCATCGCTCATGTATCGGGCCGTGAATTGCAAAGACGGTCCTGGTCTCATGGCTGAGCCTGTTCAGACCTTGGGGTATCGGCTGCCTCAATTAAAATAAACAGTAGCGAGATTCGTGGGTGGAGGTGAAGCAGAAGTCGCAAAAGGCTGTCATCAAATGGACAAAGGCATCGTGCATCCCGGCTCTGAGCTCGCTAGGCAACACCAGCGGCTGACAGCTTGACAGCCGCACTAGGCAGCGCCGCGCGGAGCAACCCAAGAGCTGCGCCAGCCGCCGCCAGCTGCATTCTGCCGTCTTTTTCTCTTCACCGCCCACCACCCCAAGTATAAGAATCTCGTCTCGCCCGCTGTTCATTTCTTGTTTTCCTTTCCTTTCTCTCCAGCTCTCTTTGCCATATGGCTTAGATCAAGTGTAGTATCTGTTCTTTTCAGTTTAATCTCTGAAACGCCTCAAAACGGGGCTTATCGTGATTATTCCCATTTTTGGTTGCCGGACGAGAACGCCTCTGCGTTTACGCATGGTTCTTGTCCACTGTGTCCCTGGTATTACACTGCGTCCAGGTGATGCGAACCTCGAGAATTCATTTTCATTGCAGTTGAGCATGACTCGGCCGCGAAGAAGATCGATGAACCAGGAGGGTGGAATGTGCCAATGAAGATACGGAAAATGCAGAGACGTGTTGGTAGCTAGGCTTGAGCTGTGAAGGTCCTCCAAGGACCCAGAGCTGGCCCTGGGCGTGGCTTACCTCTGAAGTTCCGTCAGATCAACAGTTTATCAAGACGCAACCTCTCTACTCGCTTTAATACAGGATGATAATACCAGAACCATCACAGCTCCCGAAAGGCTTCGTGCCAAGCTAGAGTTCGTGATCTATTGTCTCACTGTTCACCTCCAAACCGTGCTCATTGCCTTTTGCCCCACAATAGCTATCACCATTCACGACCATTTCAAAACCTATCACAAACCTCACCTCATCTGAACCCCAAACTCATCACACCAAACCTCCCCCAAAACCCGCCACAATGTCCACCCAATCAAGCCTCCTCGACCCATCCATCTTCAGCTATCTCGAATCCAAGATCGAAGAAGAAACCGAGGTCCGAGACGCCCTCACGCAAATCGTGCAAAAACTCGAACGAAGCGTCGCCTCCGCCCAGGCTCTCCTCTCTCGAGTCCACTCGACTCCTCGTGCCCGCTGTACGCACCGTCCCCCCAGCCAAGCACCGTACACGCCCAAGAAAGCATGCTGACGTGACCCCAGACCCAGCCTTAGTCGAGCAGGTAGAAAATGCCGTCAAGGACGAAGTCGCCATCGTCAAGGAGTTGAACGAGGTTGCCTCCAAGCACCCCTACTACAAGTTCGTTTTCACAAGTTCCAACCTTTCTGCCATCCCACCAAAAAGAAAATCCCAATCAGACTAATTCCATCCAGGTACAATTCCAAATGGGCACGAACCGTGCAAAACGCCATTGGGACGACGCTGTACTGCGCATGGCTAGGCGGTTTCCCGTCAGACTCGCAACCCCCCGAGCTCGGCCGCCTCCTCACGCTCGAGGACGTCGGCTCCATCTTCTCAGGTACGCCGTTTCTCTCTTCACCCAGTCCATCAAGCCTTTTTGCCAGTCTTGCCGCTTCCTTGGCCGTGGCCGGTGCTGACCAAACTCACTAGTGCCGACAAATCTCAAGGACCGCGATGCGTTCCACTTCACTATAGAAGAGTATCTTCTCTCCCTCACCGACCTCACGCCCGAACTAGCCCGTTTGGCCACCAATGCCGTCACCCTGGGCGATTTCCAGCTGCCCATGACCATTAGTGCCTTTATCAAGGATGTCTTTGCCGGGTTTCAGCTGCTTAACCTCAAAAATGACATTTTGCGCAAGCGCGCAGATGCCGTCAAGTATGATGTAAAGAGGGTGGAAGACGTGGTATATGATTTGAGCCTGAGGGGGCTGGTTGCGAGGACCGGGGGCGATACTGAGATGAAGACGGATGAATGAGCAAACGAACTCAAGCGCGCATCTATTTCAGGGAAGGGAGGCATTTGCTCAAAGGGTTTTGGTGCCATATTCAATATCACGGTTTGTTCTTGCGATGACTAATGGACATCAGGAGGAAGCATTGGTGTTTACAATCATTAATCAACAAAAAGTACCTTGTTCCGGCTCAGAACCTTGAGCAATGCATTGTAATAGTGTACATTCCCAACCCGTCCATTTCCACCATACATTTGCCGTAGAGAGATGCCATGCTCTCCATGTATTGCCCGATTTACCGGTTATAAAAATGACGTCGCAAGAGGTAAAAAAGACAAATAAGAATATGCTCCAGACGCCACATGCTAGGTTGTTTTCTTCATCTTCCTTTACAAGTCTCAACTCAGTCATGTCTAAAAGTACACTTGTCGCCACGCGCACACTTGCCTTGCTGCCAAAATGTGCAGGCCTTGGTTCCGATCAGGGCCTTGTTGGCAGGCTTATGTGGTGGCAACGTTGCCTTCTTCTTGCGAGTATCTTTCGCGTCTCTCTCACCACGATCCCAGTCCCGCTCGTTGGATGGTGGAGGGGGCGGAGGTGGTGGCTGACTTTGCTGATGGCCCTGTGCCAATTGTGTCAACATCATCAGTTGTTGATATGAAGGGTCGCTGGGATTGAGATTAGACAGAGGGTTGGCGCTGGACGACTGAGCTGGCTGTTGCTGTTGGGGTTGGTTGATGGCGGCCAAAATCGATTGGAGCTGGCTGTCAGGAATCGAGCTTTGTTGGCTTTGCGATGAGCTACCTTGCGCTTGGCCAGCAGCATGGCCGCCCGTCATTTGTTGCAGGAGAGCTAAGTATGGTGCATACGAAGACTGCTGCTGCTGCTGTTGTTGCTGCTGTTGCTGCTGGTAGTATATATTCCAGTCCTGGCTGGGGGTCTGGCCAGTGGCACCAGCGACGAGCCTCGCGGCGTTGGCCTCAGCCTCGGATCGAGCACGATCTTCATCCAGTTTTCTCTGCCTAGCAGCAGATTCTTTGTTGTATCCCAGCCACCATTCGCGAACCCTCTCCTCATCATGTGCCAGCCATTCGGGCGGTGCGGTGGCTGGATACGGTTTTCCAGCCAAGCTTCTAGCTACTGACTCGATATGATTGCCAATCATCTGCAAGTTTGCGTCACCATACTGATGAGAGCGAGCGGGATCAACTTGGACAGGGTTCGGGTCGCGCCAAGCGGCGATTTTCTCTTGCTGGAGGCAAGCAAGAACTTGTGCCTCGCTATTAGGTCCCACGGCAAACGGAAAATTATGCTGCGTTGTGGACAAGCCATGAAGGGCCCAAGGATGCGAAGTTGCTTGATGGGAGCTTGACTTATCCGGTGCACCCTTGAGTCGTCCGAGAATGTCGTCCAGCTTATTCGACGGGTTGTTTTTGGCATCGATTCTCCGAAGCGCTGCGCCAAGGGCTTGGTCCACTCCCATGTTCTGCTCGTCTCGCCATCGAAGTTGGAGTTCCTCAAACTTTGCACCTTCAGTCGGAAGATACCCAGCTTTGGAGTGGGCTGGGCTGGACGACTCCGCCGGAGGTGATTTGGGACTCGGAGGAATGTCATCCACATTCGTGTATATGGCCATGAGCTCTCTTTGCCCACGCGCTGTGATTTCCTTCTGTTCGTTCGTTTCGAATATGACGTTGCCACCACGTGTGATGTAGTTCTTGTTTCTGACGTCAGGTGGCAGTTGGGAGAAGTCAGTAGCCGTGGGCTCAACCCATGGTTGATAAGGTATATCGTCGTCCTCATCATCCTCATCGACACCAGCCCGTTGCTTCAACACCATACCCTCTGATCGATCATCTCCGGCGTCGCGAATCATGTTCACATCACGTCCTTCATCTTCCTCATCGTCTTTCTGGAAGATCTTGACTTGAACAAGCTCTTCCTCGGGCTTCCAGCTCACGCGAAGCTTCCTCCGTCCTTCTTTGCGGATACGCTTAGCTCTTTGTTCCGGCGTTTCTGAATTGTCTGGACTCTTGGAGTCTTTGGAAGTGACAGGCGCCACCTCGGGCTTCTTGGCGTTGATCGAATCTAGCAAGGATGCAATTCCGGACAAAGCGCCGGCAGAGCTCGATGCTGTTTTCGGCGGAAGTGCTTTGGTTTCAGACCTTGATGGGCCGGGCTTGCTTTCAGACTTGGCAGCCAGCTTTCCAACGTCAGGTTTACTCTTTTCATCAGTAGGCGCGTTAGGACTATCCACTCCGACAGGCTCGGGTTTAGCCACGGTCTTTGCAACAGGTCGAGATTTTCCAGGAAGCACTGAAGAGGTTGTTTGTTTTGCCGCTGCAGTCTTACTAGCAGACTGGGAAACCTTTGGCTGGGCTAGCTTCTTGCTCAACGATCCAGCTCCTGCTTCTACAGCAATTTTTTTTACGGTGCGAGTGTCACTGTCCTCATCTCGTCCTCGTTTTATTGACATGACATCCGATGCTGATTTGCCCCCAGCCTTTGCTCGGCTAGCTGCAGATGTTCCCGTGTAGCCAGTTGCTGTGGTGGGTTCGTTGGCCTTTTGAAATTTTTTAATTTTGGCAGATATCTCACGGACAAGTTCCTTGACTTCTTCGTCGCCCTTGTCCTCGAGACGCTTCCGTACAGAATCGAAATTCGTCGTCTCGACAATCTTCCTTGTAATCCGAAAATGAGTAAATAGCTCCAAAACAATTTTTGGTAGCTTTCCAGAGAAGTCTGAGGCTTTAATCGACGAGATCAACGCATTGACAAGACTGAGGACTAATTTTTGGTGTCCACCGAGGTTGTCCAGCACTGCATCATCCGCGTGTTCGACGGTGGCATCCAATGCCCGATACAACGCCTCTTTCTTCTGTTCCGCCTCTAGCTTCTTCTTCTCAACCACCGGCTGTGGCTCTTTGTTTTTGATTGCTTCCTCCAAATCAAGTTTACTGCGATTCATTTCAGTTCGCAGCTTGACGAAGTACTCGCCGGCTTGTTGAACGCGTCCAGCAATCAGGGAAGATGTTCGAGGGGTAGCCTGGTCGATATGAATGATCCCAATGGTATCCCAAACGACCGCTTCGACAGCGTCATTCGGGCGAGATGCCTGTCGAATCTAAACACGGCTGATTAGTATGTGTACAAGGGGACGCTTACAGCTAGAAAAGAAATGTTAAGCTCACAGGTTTATTTCGTTCGTCTTCAAGCTCTTTCTTGGCCTTCTTTTCCGCCTTATTCTTGGAGGCCTCGTCTGACTTGAGCTGCTCCTTAAAGGCATCTGATACAAGGTTAGAAGGAAACGTCTGGTGTGAGAGCATCAAAACAATTTCCGGTACGTACGTGGATATTCGGTATATTTAGGCTGCCGTTTACCCAGCGCCCCCATCGATCGATCGTATTCGTCCAACAAAGTCTTGGCCTCTGTTCGTCTCTCATCTAGGCCACTCTTGTCAAGCGACGGTCGGTATTTACTTGTGAATCGACCTTGGACCTCGCAAGGTAGCGAGTAGCCCAGCTCCGGAACAATGGGCCTGCCACTTCGAGGCGGCAAGGCGACCAAAGGCGCCAGTTTATCGTAGCTTTTGGGGGCAGGAAGCTTGACACTGCCTTCGTAGACCAAATGCGGAAGTCCTTTAATGGTGGGGTGCTTGGCCTGTGCCGCTTTGTTGCGTTTTCCGAAATCCGTAATCAACTTTGCTTCTTCAGGTGAAGGCTGAGGAACAGGCAGGGAGTCAGTATCTTCAACCCTTTTACTGGAGGACTCGATGGAAAGATCTGTCATCACGGACGGAACTTCCACAGTAGGGACAGGGCTTTCGATGGAAGCCTTTCTCACTCGCTTCCGCTTTTTCGTCTGGGAAGAATCGGTAGTTGATATTGATGATGGGTGGATATGACCAGAAATGAGCTCAGAGGGAGTATGGCCCACTGACGTAGACTCAGGTCCAGGTGCCGCTATAGCCTGTCCCATGGAGGTATCAATTCCAGCCAAATGAGCCTGGTGACCCGTTGGTGAGCCTTGTCCCGCTGGAGAGTAGGTCGACAAATTCTGCGGTGCAAAGCTTGCAGCATCGAGTGCCTGTTGACCATGGCCCTGTGGGCGCGGCTGCTGTTGCTGCTGCTGATAGGTAATATGCGGATTCGGATCTTGAGCGAAGTGATTCTGTTGACCATTAACTGTGTTGTGGACAAAATTCTGCGCGTGTGGAAACGACTGTGGGCGTAGAGCAGGAGGGGACTGCTGAGATTGGCGTGAGAAGGACTGATCCTGTTGGAATCCTGCCTGCAGGCTTTCGAAGTGTTGGACTGGCGGATGGCTGTGCTGGCTCGGGGCCCGCGAAATAAGCTGATTCGCATTATATTGTGACACTGGAGGATTGAAGGCCTGCTCATTCTGGGCAGGGAATTGAAACTCATGTTGTTGAAAGCTTTGTCCATGCCCATGTGGATGAGTCTGCACCTGACTTAAATTCAGGTTGCCCTTGGCATGCTGGCCATAAATGTCGGGGTGCAGGTTACTAAACGCAGGATCAATCACGTCTTGCCCAGCTTGACTGAATTGCTGATTCAAGCCGAGAGTATCATGAAAGCTAGGGTCGCCAGGTTGGGAGGGGTGCAAGCTCCCGCCCAAGAAGGCGTCACCTTGGTGTGACGGGGGGTTGAAGTAGTTTTGTGCATGTGCATCTTGAGGATTGCTGATGTGCGGAAATGAGCCGGCATGATCCGCCACGGACTGTTGCCAGGCCTGATTAGGATCGAATTGGCCGTCTTGGCCATAAGGGAAACCTCCTTGCCATGGGGTTTGTCCGCCTGCGCCGCTCTGGCCCGACCCGGGCCAGGACTGCATTTTATGTGGATTTCAATCGTCGTTCCAACATGCACTAATCATGGATGACAATATTGTAGAAAGGTCTAAAGCTAGCAGGACATGTTAGCGAACTTCACCTAACCCGGGGTGAGCACGCGTCGAGGGCGTGAGTCTGGCCCATGAGAAGGAAGGTTGGCAGATGCATGTCCGAGAAGCATGCAACAGCCTCGATCAATGAGAAAGTGGCTGTTGACTGGAAGAGAAGGGGGGGGGGTTGGCTATGTGTGGAGGGAGCTCGACCCAGGGTTAGGATCAAGTACTTACTCGGGGAAATTGAATGGTGAGGAACCTCGAGGGTCAGAGCCGTTGCGAGCGGCAAAATGTCGGCAGATGAGGCGTCACTGGGTCCACTTCGGGCACTAGTCCAGAAACAGGCCAACGCGCAGGGGTTGGATGGTTGGCAAAGTCGAGATGGTGGAAGGACACTGACTGACAGATGGGCCCGGGTGCAATCTCTAGAGGAAACACGCATTAGTACCATCTCAATTTCTTTCCTTTAATTGCGGCAATGTGAAATGCAGCGATGAGTACGCGGGATCAAGAGTCTTTTGAGTTCGAAAGTTGGCAGGGAGCTTCATTGCGCGAGGAGAGCCCCGGTATTTGAGTAGCCGACTGGCACACGCCCAACCAGCATGTCCCTCCGCCATCGCCATCAAGGCCTCGCTGTGTTGATGATCGGCGTCAAGCTGGACTCCAAGACGCGCATAGCGGTGTCGGTAAAGCAGGAGTTTTTGCAAATGCCAGGTAGCAATGCCGCCCCATGTCGGCGGATTGATGTAGTGATTTCTGTTTCTGCTAGGGCAGCAAATCTTGATTGAGATTGTAGACTGTGGCTTCTGCTGCTCCCACGGCTGTGTTATTTCCGGTCTGTTTTCCAACCGGACGCCTGGCGATGTAGACCGTAAACAATTAAATCCGCGGGGTTCAAATACCCCTCAAAATTGCCAGGAATTTTATTTCCACGGCGAGATTGACTCTTTTATCACATTTATCTCAAGACGCAACCCGATGACCAGGTCGAGGCCCAAGACACGTGATACGTGCCTTAAATCATGGCAACTTCTGCTTCCCAATCGGCCACGCAAGAAAGGGGTGCTCAGCTTTTCGAGGACCCGACACCCATCAATCCATCTCTTTAAAAATTGGCTAGGCAATCTAGACTGACGTCGGTAGTTCAACTCGCGGCTTTAATGATGACCAATTAAAAATAGCGATCGCAGTTCATTTAGGCAAACGCCAAATCACAAGATACAGTTGACGCTGCTTTCCATTCATACTGGCGACAGACTCAGGCGTGGCTCGGCAAAGGGAGACTGGTACTCCGCAAATGCCCAAGCCCACCATAGGTGATTGTGGTTTGGGAAAGGGGGATGGGATGTAGGAGGGGGGTTCAGAGGTGAAGCATACCCAGCGGCCAGAGAGACTCTCGCAATGGTTCAACCTTTAAGTCTGTTCAAGGGCTGAGTCGTCATGACCTGCCTCTCCCTTGCGCTGTTTACAAGATTATTGAACGCGCTCTATGGGAGATCATGCGACAGCCCGCTGACGGGGAAAGGGGCGACGACAAATTACGGCGGCAAGTCGGGACTTAGCGACGGAATGATGAAAAAAACTAGCACCAGATCCAGGTGATGCCGCAGCTTCCCGGCGGTTATTGACGAAGCACAGATTGCAGCAGATGGCGATGCGCGAGAGAGTGATGAAGGTCTGTAGTCGACGGTGGAAAAGTCAACAGCAGCCAATTTCGGGGGAGCTGGTTCGCCTTCTGTGGCCGGAAATGTCAGGCAGAAAGGCCCGAAGGGCTTGCACGTACGGTTAGTAGTACTACTACGTGGTACTCGTTCGGAGGGAGGATATGTACATGTACATGCTACATGTGCGGAGTAGTACTCCGTACCGTGCCACGATCGTAACAAAGGCCCCACCATGTCGTGCCTGAAGCTCCAAGCCTTGCGCCGGATTTAAAGTAGCTCCGTTCTCCGCGACCTGATTGCTGCGCGGCAGACGTCAACTAACTCGTACACTGTGGCCACTGTTGCCCGTCAGACGCAATAGCTCCCCATGTCTAAGTTGCGTCGGCTCCAACGACGATATCTTGGCTAAGCTGTTCACAACACCAACACCGCCAAGTTCGTAATGTCGTCGGCTTGAAACGCTGTCTCTTCAATACAATTGAAACGCACCATTGGTCTTTCTCCAGCCAACACATCTCCTCCGGCTTTGGAGCAGCCGTAACCGCCGTCCGCAACACCCCACCTCCTTGACTCTCCTCGGTGCTTGACAGCGAATACGCGAGAATGGCTTCCAAAAGCAATTCATTACGAGATCGTCAAATAGGTATGCTATATACTAGATTACTCGCATTTGTCACTACTAAGAAAATTCTATTCGCAGCGTCACTCAAGAAAATCCTCAACCTTAACGAAACGGTCGAATCAAACGAGGCAACTGAACATGCCAGCGCCCTTCATGCGCCTGTTGCTCCCATACTCGACGCTGATGGTAATCCTATATGGAAGGTGCTTGTCTTTGATGATCTCGGCCGAGATGTCATTAGTAGTGTCATGCGTGTGAGCGATTTGCGGTCTATGGGCATTACCATGCACATGTATGTGTGACATGTTTTGAGATGGGCGGGCACAACTGACAAATAACTTCTAGGCACATTGGAGCTTCACGACACCCCATTCCCGATGTCCCCGTTATCTATCTCGTCGAACCGAACTCCCAGAATATTCAAGGCATTACAAGTGATCTCCAAAAGGGACTCTACTCCCCCGCTTACATCAATTTCCTATCCTCACTGCCTCGAGTGTTGCTGGAGGATTTCGCAACGCAAACAGCAACGGCCGGCACATCCGAAAAGATTGCCCAGTTGTTTGATCAGTATCTTAACTTCATAGTCGCGGAGCCTGACCTCTTCAGTCTTGGTATGCAAAACGCACACACGTACTGGGCCTTGAACAGCGCAAAGACGAGCGATGAGGAGCTCGAGGCCGTGGTGGACAAGGTCGTGAGCGGACTTTTCAGCGTTGTTGTGACTATGGGTATGGTATTCTATGGCGGCATTAGTGAGGGTATCCTGCTAACAGCCATGACTAGGTGCTATTCCCATCATCCGATCTCCCAAGGGTGCAGCTGCTGAAATGGTAGCTGCTCGCCTCGATCGCAAGCTTCGAGATCATATTCTTAATTCAAAAGATAACCTATTCTCCAGCACTAGACCAGCCGTGGCGGGTACACCAAGCTCGCGACCGGTCTTGATTTTGCTTGATCGAAACGTTGACTTGACCCCTATGCTGTCACATTCATGGACTTATCAATCTCTCGTCCACGACGTGCTCAATATGAAATTAAACAGAATAACCATCGAAGCACCTGTAGACGAGAGCAATCCCTCCAAAGGAACCACAAAGAAGGGGTACGATTTAGGCGCCAATGACTTTTTCTGGGCCAAGAACGCCGGAGTCCCATTCCCTCAGGTTGCAGAAGACATTGACGCCGAATTGACCAAATATAAAGAAGACACCGCAGCTATCACCAGAAAGACTGGGGTTTCGGATTTGGAGGATCTCCAAAACGATACTAGTGCAAGCGCCCAACACCTCAAGGCTGCAATAACGCTGCTTCCTGAGATGAGAGAGCGAAAAGGCATTCTGGACATGCACATGAACATTTTAGCCGCGTTGTTATCTGGCATCAAAGAACGACAGTTGGACAATTATTTCCAGCTTGAAGAAACGATAATGAAACAAACCAAAGCTCAAATACTGGAAATCATCAACGACGACAACAAAGGCAAAGAGCCTGCCGATAAGCTCCGACTGTTCATCATTTGGTTCTTAAGCACGGAACAAGAGGTTAGTCGGGCAGACTTTCAAAGCCTTTGTAAGGCTCTTGAAACGGCTGGGGCAGACATATCTTGTCTCCCCTATGTTCGACAGTAAGTACGGCCGCTAGAACTGTTACACATTGACTACTAACACGCCACGTAGGGTTCGTGCAACCACTAAGATGACCCAACTAACGACGATAGACAACTCCAACCAACAAGCACCGTCGTCTGATCTGTTTGGCCGTTTCTCTTCTATTTCTACCCGCCTTGCGGACAGACTCAAGGAAACTGGAGTTCCTTCCGGGTTGTCCTCCAATTTTGAGTCGCTAATATCAGGCGTCAAGAACTTCCTGCCAGCCGACCGAGATCTCACAGTGACCAAGATTGTCGAATCTATCATGGACCCATCCAGCGCATCATCATCTGCTATGGCAAAGACGGAAAACTACTTGTACTTTGATCCCCGCTCAGCCAATGCTCGTGGGACTATGCCACCGCCGAGCGCAGTGCGTTCAGGTGCTGCAGCCAACGCGCCGGGTGGCATGCCCGGTGCAGGAGGTCAAGGGCAATCGGCAACATTTGGTCAGCGAAGGCAAGGTTTCACAGAGGCGGTGGTATTCACCGTAGGAGGTGGCAGCATTGACGAGTACGGCAATTTGCAGGAATGGGTAACGCGAACCAAGGACCGGGGCAAGAAGCGGGTTGTGTATGGCAGCACGGAATTGCTGAATGCCGCTGCATTTATCAAGGATGAGTTGGAGAGGCTGGGCCATGAAGTTGCATCATAACTATTATTCAAATACGATGAATAGAAGCGAAGCGAGAGCCCAAGAGCATCGACCAACTATTCAAGGTAGTTCTGATGTATATGTGTACGAACGCCATTCTAGAGAAAGAAAAATAAGAACTGGACATGTGTGCCACTTTTCCTGTTCGATGCACACAAAATTCACGCGTATAAATCAATCCATGGCAGAATGTCATCTCTATGGCAACATAACAGCAATTAATTGATGCTTCACCGCACAGTGGATGGCCACTGGTCAGGTGCTGCAATACGCTTGAGAGGTTGACTGTTGCCGCAGCCGTGGCTCACGCTGGACGTGGACCAACCAAGGGGCCGCGATGCGGGCGCATTGGAGGCGCCCAAAGTCGACACGCACCGCCAGGAGCAGCTGCAGCACCACACGCTCTTTTTCTCACGCCATGCCTCGACCACCTCTGTCAACCCTCTGCCTTTCCTCCTCCATTCCCTTCCCGTCCATCGTATCCCATCCCAAAACCCATCTCCAACCCACGCGAAAACGGACGCTCGTGGCCCTTGCAATCAAATTTTAATCGGTCGCAAGTATCGTCAGCCTCATTCATCCGTTTCACGACACACTTCTTTGCTCCGCCTCGGCACCGCACCTATTCGCGCGTCACGCAGCCGTGAGAGCGAACGAGCCCTGCAGTAGTCCTGGCACGATTGAATTGATGCTTTTTCAGGGACACTAGATAACTAGGTTCGCTTCAATTCGTCATTTGATCGATTTGCAGAGACCATGGACGGATCTCCCGTCAAGGCGGAGGAGTCGGTAGACCACCGCAAGAGCGGATACAAGTCATGGAAGAAGAAGTATCGCAAGATGCGCATTGTTTTCGATCAAAAGATGCAAGAAGGCGAGGATCTACACAAGCAGGAGGATAAAGCTTCTGCTACGGTCAAAAGATTAGCTGTTGAGAATGAGTACGAATGCCTCCCTCACTCTGTCTTGTTTTTTCTTCCTGTCTCCTCAACTTCCTTCCCGTGCATCCAACACCGTATGATGGACTATTCTAACTCACCGTGCGTGCAGCCGCCTGCTAGATCTCCTCCTCGATGTCAATAACTCGCCGCAAATTCCCCTCGACAAACGAATAGACGTGTCCCTGAAGCCATCCCCAGGTGCCAAGATCGTCCTCCCAATTGACAGCAAGCATGCACCCCAAAAGGAGCTCAGCATCAAGAAACTCCAGCAACTCCTCGAGGAGATCCCTCACTCAACGTACACCTCGGCCAAGGACTCGAAGCGCTCCTACGTCAGTGACTTGGCTGCTCCCGAGGGCGAACCCTTCCCGCCTAGCTTCTTGTCCGCCGACGACATTGATAACTACATCCACGATATCGACAGCTCAATAGACCCTGAGACACATATACCCACGCTCGCTCCTCGCGCCCATCCGAGCACCAACCCAATTCAACACGCTCACCTGAAAAACCCCACAAGCGTAACCAACTGGTTGCGCAAACACGCGCCCAAGATCTTCCTCCAAGACGGAGAGGCTCACGATGGCGATGACGAGGGTCAAGCAGGCCACCATACAGGTGGTCGCAAGACGCGTGGATCCCGAGGCGAGCGTGGTGGCGGTCGCGGCCGTGGTAAACGAGGCAGCCTGGCCTCAAGAATGGCCGATCGGGAGCGAGAGCGCGACCGCGGCGAATGGGACGCTAGCATGGACGAGGATGCCGATTTTGGCACACCCGTGGGCAGAGGCAAGCGCAAGAGGGACGACGATCCTGGTTATAGACCCGGAGGGTCTGGTGGCCGTCCAGTCAAGAAGAAGAGAAAGAGCGACATGGATGGCACGCCAGCTGCTCGAAAGTCCAAGAAGGAAGCTGCCTCGAGGGATGATTAGTTTGGCTTGTAGATCTGGGATTTAGGGCGTTGCGTGTGACAGAATATATGGCGTTTGGTTTATTGTAAGGGTATTATGTGAGGGCTCGATGGGAGGGGAACTCCTTTTTTTTTGAGAATTATGGCTTTCTTGGGATGGGGCAGGGGAAGATTGGTGTTATGCTTATTTCGTACCTGTATACTAGACATATTAAAGGATTCGCGTTGTACTCTTGCGTGTGCACAATTGCCTGGATATGTGATGAAAGACCTCGATTTGTAGTAACCCATATGCCGAGACGCTCAAGCTTGGGGCAGGAAAGCTTCTGGTATAATTTGATCATGATTGCTATACATTGTATCTACATGCTGCTAGATCAGACAACCGACGTTACTCCGGTGACATGTGCCAGTTCTATCTGTATGCTATATATGTTGCCACAGCCCTGGACTGCGTTGGAAATGTTTCGTGCTGTAATGCAAAATATGAAATACTTGTAAACGCGCCTCACATGAGGGGGCGGGCTAAAAGGCGCAGGGTATTTATTCCGCCGCTATTCCGCCGTTTAATGCTTCCATTTCCCTTCTCCCACTTTGTTGTATTTGCATCTTGAGCCCCCCTATTTACAACTTCTCCTTGAGGATGGTCTTCATGCGGCGCTCAACGGCATTCAGGTACTCGTTGGTCGTGACGTAGTCGGAGCGCTCGTTCTTGCCGCAGGCCAGGGCCAAATCCTTGGTCATGACGCCATCCTTATCGACGGTGTCGATGCAAGCCTGCTCGAGGCTCTCGGCAAAGGCCACGAGCTCGGGCGTGTTGTCGAGCTTGCCACGCTGAATGAGACCGCGGGTCCAGGCGAAGATGGAGGCAATGGGGTTGGTAGAGGTCTCCTTGCCCTTCTGGTGCTCACGGTAGTGGCGGGTAACGGTGCCGTGGGCGGCCTCGGACTCGAACGTCTTGCCGTCGGGGGTGATGAGGACCGAGGTCATGAGGCCAAGGGAACCGAAGCCCTGAGCGACAATGTCAGACTGGACATCACCGTCGTAATCTGGATTATGAATGGTTAGCTTTTTTTTGTTTTAGGCACTGATTTGCTAGCAAAAACCTACTCTTGAGAGCCATGATGTAACCGCCCTTGCTCTTAATCATCTGGGCAACCATATCATCAATGAGACGGTGCTCGTACCAGATCTTCTTGGCCTCAAAGTCCTTCTTGTATTGGGTATCGTAGAGCTCCTGGAAGATGTCCTTGAAGCGACCATCGTACTTCTTAAGGATGGTATTCTTGGTACTCATGTAGAGGGGCAGGCCCTTGTCAAGAGCAAGCTTGAAGGAGGCATGAGCAAAGCCAGTAATGGACTCGTCAGTGTTGTACTGCGCTTGGGCAACGCCACCACCGTTCTTGAACTGGTAGACCTCGACCTCTTGAGGCTCGCCACCTTCAGGGGTGTAAACCATGGACAGCTTGCCTGGTCCGGGGGCAACGAGGTCCTTGGCGCGGTATTGGTCACCAAAGGCATGGCGACCAATAATAATGGGCTTCTCCCAACCGGGGACCAGACGCGGGATACGAGGGATGACGATGGGCTCACGGAAGACAGTGCCGCCCAGAGCATTTCGAATTGTGCCGTTTGGTGACAGCCACACTATTTGCAAAAGAGTGTCGGGTCAGTCGATTGCCGTCAAACAGGTGCTGCGGTATTTAGTACCAACAAGGAGATTACTTACTTTGCTTCAGCTTGAATTCTTCAACACGAGCCTCATCAGGTGTAATGGTAGCGCACTTGACACCGACGGAGTACTTCTTAATAGCCTCGGCGGCATCAACAGTGACCTGGTCGTTGGTCTTATCGCGGTATTCGAGACCCAGATCGTAGTACTTCAGATCGATATCAAGGTAAGGATAGATGAACTTGTCCTTGATAGTCTGCCAGATAATGCGTGTCATCTCATCGCCGTCGAGTTCCACGACCGGATTCTTAACCTTGATCTTGCGTGCGGCAGCCATGTTGCGTGCTGAGACTGAAAAGGTGCGGACGGCGCCGAAAGAAGGTGCAAATCGAGAGGAGGAAGCGCGAACTGAGGCAATGGGCGCACGGCGAAGGGGAAGGTGTGAGGAGAGGAGTCTAGCGGCGGAATTCATGGTGAACAAGGGGAAGGGGACGGTCCATGTAGAAGGAAGAAAACAAGGACGACTGAGTTAATCCAAGCGCGGTATTGCGACAGACTAGACTACGCAGCGCGGGGCTTTGGTCGGTTCGGGATCAAATTCGCAGGGTTTCGCGAGGGTAGTCTCGGTTCGGAGTTGATGAGTGGGGGGCTTTCCCCGACGAGAAGTTGTTTATGCCAAGGCATGCGGAAGGAGCCAGTCAGGCGGGAGGTCACTGGTGGCTAAACTTACAGGGGCTAGATTATAAATGCAAAAGACCAAAGCTCATCAGCTAGGTGACATAAAGAACAGGCCGCGCTCGGAGGCGCCCAGGTACATGTAGTATCGTGTCTAGTTTTCCTTTACGTTGCCAACTCTTGGGCCAAAGGAGGCTGGAGTTTTCTTGTGCTCCGTTCCTCGGCGCACTTGCGCTCACTGTGAATGCTGCCGCCCCCAATGTCCATGTCGGCACGTGCATCTCCACCTACGCAAACATTTTGCCAGACATCATTCAAATGAACGGCATGGCCTTGTGGTGGGGGCACACTGTCACACCAGAGATATCGGCACTTCATCTGTCCACAAACACATCTTCAAAGCCATCACGGATGACCTATCGTTGTATCAATTATTTCCCATTTACACGCAATACCTATATACAGAGTACGCCTGCTCACAGGTCAGGTTCTGTGCATGCCCTATGATATGTGCCTCTATTTTTTATTCCAAAAAGTAAATCGAGAATGCTCCATTCATCCGTCATCCATCATTCATCCTTGAACATCCATCTGCCGCCGGGCCGCCTGGCTTCCCGGTATCGCTCTGCAACTGCTCGCCTCGTTCTTCTCACAGCTTCCTCTCTATCCGCTTCCAGTTGCTGCGTATCTGGAAAGTCTGCATCCCAGAAACCTGGGGGCGACTGCATGCGAGAGAATCTATGTCTATGTTTGCCATATTTATTTGCCAATTCGTGCGTCTTGGCCTCGATCCAGACTTCCATTC